TTATGTGGTGTGTAGCTAAAACATTCTAACACGACCTCTAGTGACATGCCATGACATTAAACATAAGAAAATATTATGGCTAAGGCTACAGTTATACACATCATAATAATAATATTAAACATCCTGTCTTCTAACAGTCATCAACTTTCTATCTAGTTATCCTGGACCATAAGCAACCTGCAGCAACTCATGAGAATGACTATACATTTAACAGCCTGAGCTAGACATCCTGTCTACACTAAACATTTCTAATACATCAAGTATCTAACCAATATCTATCTGACTAAAAATACCTAACACCATCCTTAGAGCCATATCGCTCGCATGGCTAAAAACACTGCAGTGGATTAGCTTGTTCACACTTCAGCCAGTGTGCTACTGATCACATATAGGAGGCTGTGTCCAAAACCAGCCCTACATGATCACGTAGCATTCACCACTTAAATCATTTCTGGGATGCTGGGACACAAACTAGTAAAATATAAACAATGTTTTATTTTTATGTAATAATTAACAATATAAAAACTATGTAAAGGGTCGGTTACCACCAGAAACCACTTGCAGATGATTTCACTCTCTCTCTATATATATAAACCATACTGAAATCTTATTGCTTATGATTTAAACTACATTATGTTTTTGACTCTGGTATACACTTGTTCTCCTCTGAAGGTGTATCCACAGAGTCACCTGAGACTTTCAGTCCAATTGTGATAGCAGCAGCCGTCTGTGCAGTGGTGGCTGTCATTACTATGGTGGGATTGACAGTGTTTTGTAAAAAGAATGGTAAGGACAGAGAATACACTTGTCATAAAGTAGCTGTTTTACACACATTTGCATATTCTGTTTGTACAATGACTCGACATGTAAAAACCCACATCAGTTTCTTTGGTTTCCAGGAGTAGCAGCCAGAGGTGCAATAGAAGACAGGAGAGTAAATGGATGTGCAGAGTAAGTGGATGTTTCCTAGAAACAACTAACTTTATAGAGAGAAATATGTAATTAAGAAATCATGTCCCAGATGCCTCAAAACATTCTGATTTGTAATTTGCATCATATACATCACTCACACTCTCCATGACCTTTAATTTTCTCCAGGGAGGAAACAGCCCTCAGTGGAAACAAAGAGAATGAGGGACCTTGAGTGATGAAGCTGTGAAGAAAACAATTCAATTTTTGTCTGAAACAAAGATTGCATGTTCTAGAATCTAGAACTAAAACTATAGGTCACTGAAGTGTACATTACATTTGTGACTCACAAGCCAGGAATGGCCAGAGTCCACGTCGTCAGTGACTCACCAGGGACCACTTGCTGTCAACATTTCAGTGACAATGGTGACTTTTGAAGTGTTTGAGGAACTACTTACTTTAGTATCATTTTACTGGTGAAGTACAGTGCGTCATTAAAATGAGAGTAGCTTACTTCTCTAAAACACATTGTGGTGAGATTGTTGTTGCGTACTGCAGAACAGTCTCAGGAATATACTGCCCAGCAATGTGAATAGTGAAATCACAAACTGAAAAGATTGTATTTAAGCTTTGAAGTATACTGAAGTTCTAAACACATCTCTGCAGGCAGCACTGAGAACTGTTACACCTGCTACATCATTTTAAATACAGTATATTGTTGTTGCACTTTAAAAATCTTATCTGTAGTAGCCAATTTTTTAAATAATCTGTTGTGTTTAGTGCTTGTGAAAATATTTTTTAAATTATCAAAATGTAGTGGAGTTCCTTAATTTAGTAGTTGCTTGCACATTCAGTAAATTTGTTCTCTGAACTTTTTCTGTTTCAGATACATTTTCTGTAGTGTGCAGTACACACCAGTATTCTCCTATAAGGTGCAATATTAAATACAAAAAGAGAAAAGCATTTTGTTTTGTTTGTTTAATATATATTACCGTTACCCTCTTGCTTAATATTTTGGTCTTTTTTTTTTTTTTACAATTCTGACATTTTTCTCACGATTGTTCTCATAAAATATATGCTTTATGTACTGTATGATATATTTATTTTTTAATTTAAAAAATGGTTTGCCCTGTTTACACTGTGGGTATACTTGTGTTACTTGTCCTTCCATAGAATTACCAGGGCAAAAGGCTGCTTTCATTTCCTGTATCTGTGTGATGCACGCCCGCACCCAGAACACTCCTCAACGATGGCTGCTGTAAATTTTTTTTATTTGCCAGTTCTTATAAACTTTACAGTACTGTTTAAATCTCACTTTCTCTGTCATTAAAAGGTACCATCAATTAAAGCAGCATATGTTTTGCATGTAACTGTATTTTTGCTTTGTTTTATTGTCATGCTACTACATAATTACATTATCCTCTCAAAGTGAACTATTGCAGTAGATTATATAACCCAATTTAGACTGTTTAAGAGGTTTGCATTCGATAGGTTCTGAGTCAGAAAAAGTCAGGTATTACTCAATTCTTTTCAGTTGCAATTCAATGTAGTAGCCACTAGATGTAGGACTAACACCAGTGTAAGTGGTTCCTCTGATGTAATGGCTGATATACTAGCTGGTGTTGTGCACATCCATGAGCCTGATCATATTTGTCAAAAGCAACATTATTTTTATGTGCATAGGGGAATGAAACAATGTTTATGCATTCACCACATAATGTGTCAGAGCAATATGAGCAGTTGATTCCAACAGAGATGCATAATGTCTCTCTCACTTCCGTATGTTGTCGCCTGCCAGGAGAAGGCTGAACAGACCCGCTATATTGGAGGAAAAGAGGTGTGTAGACTAGATGTAAGATGATATCAAAGGAAGGGGGCAAAGCAAGGCATTTGCTCTTGTCAATCTATTGAGTTTATAGGATGTCTTGTCTAACTGAGGCTTTAGGTAACATTATACATATATGCAGCACAGCAAACTGTCTTTCTGTGTACATACAGACAGGTGACAAAGTAAAGGAAAAACCTGAATAAACGAGTGCTCTCTTCTAGGATGACAGTGCCCCCATCCAAAGGGAATGAGGGGTCATTGAGTGGTTGAGACTTGTAGACCGAAGCTGTTCTGGGAGCATGTGGTGACCCCAACACTTTAGTTGTTCCTTTAATTTGTCACCTGACCGTATCTGTGTACACCTCTTCTTCTTTCACCCTTTCTGTCGTTCACACATTTTACTAGTTCCAAACACACATCCATCTTGTTTTCTCACTTGCTTTTTTTCTGTCTCACGAGTCACAGTGACAGGCTGTCAGTCTATCTTTTCTCACTGTGTTTACACTGGGCAGCAGAGCAGTACCAGGCTGGGTGCACTTCAGGAATGTAACCCCAAGATCCCTGTCCACCTCCTTTTCCTCCTCCTCTTTTCCCTTCTCCCCATCTTTTTCTTTCCCCCCTTCATTCTTATATTCCCTCATCGCACACACCCCTTTGCCTTCTTTTCACTTTCCTTCTGTTCATTCCCTTTCCACTCCTTTCCTCCATTTAATTATCCTCAACTCTGCCCAGTCACTCCCCTCCACACACCTTCTGCCACCTTTCTCTTCTCTGTCTGTCACTCACCCTTTCTCCATTCTCTCCCCTGAACCTTCACTCCCCTTCTCCCGTGCCTTTTTCTATTCCCTTTTTAAAATTCTGAGAGCATTGTCCAAGCTCAATCACCCCCTCCTTCCATTCCCCTGTCATCATCCCCTCACCTCCCAATCCTCCCCATCTCTCTGTCCTCCCTCCTCCTCATTCCTGTGCTGTCTAACCCAAACAAACCAGGGAGGACTTTCCTCTGTGGTGGCTGCAGCAGAAACACACCACATGTCAGACTTGGTTTAAACATAAACATTAGTCAGTTTGAAGTACTGGAAAAGGATATGAGTCCAATGTGAGATAGAGCTACTATTAGGAAACCATGATGGCAAAGCTTGCCACTGAATATACAAAAAATCAGAGCAGAGAACAGTATATTTTGGTGTATCCTTGCAAAAGGATATTTCATGAAATGGGTCATTATGACCAAAGGATTCAATAGAAAAAAAATTTAAAATTCTAAAAATGAATTTGTCCCCTTTCATTCCAGTCCATTGGTTTAACTTAAAAATCTGCAAAGTACTACATTTATACTGGCCACAAGCAGGCCAAAGAACCCACATTTTCTCTTTCCATCAAGAGAAAGTCAGCTACACATGTTTTATTGTTTTATTTATTAACTTTTATGGTGGTTGGCAAACAACAAAATGGTGCATTACTGTCACCAACTGGACTGACGTGTGGATCGAGAAGCTAACATTCAGTGCCCATTGAACAGTTTGAGGACCAATGTTGTTATTGTACATTTTGCTGTGGGACTGGGTTGTCTTGTGTCTGAGTGTGAATTATAACAATGCAGCCGATATAAAATAAGGTGGGATTTTGTTCAAAATTCTTTGAATTTTACTGCATTTTGTTCATTTTTAAATGAATTGATGTAATAATATTGTACTGATAGAACTATTAGATTGTAGGATTGAAAGACTAAAGGCTATGAGGGACCAAACAGGTCAAGAGGTTCAACTGTGGCGCTTCAGCTGAACGATCATGTTGTCGCTGTCACTGCAGAAACCTGCTCCCTGACCCCCAGAAACAGGAGAGGTGACCTGGAAGCATTTATCACCTCTGTGCTTTCTGATCCATGGCCTGAGGCCTGGGATCGAGAAAAGAACACAAACACACCAGAAGGGAGAAAAGAGGAGATAGAGGGATGGGAATAAGGATGATCAATGCAACAATATATAAATAGTTATTTGTTATACTAAATTCATGCAATTAAACATGTTGTTACATTGCTTATGAGAGGAACAGCTGTAACTGCTACTGTCTTTGTGGGCATGCATCAATGACAATATTTTTTGGGCAGAAGATGAAAACACTGTCAGTGTATATGTGTGGTCCTGGTTTGGTGGAGCCAAAAGTTATCAGTGGGACTTGGAAAAAGTTGAAATCAGAGAGATACAGAAAGGGAGAGATGGCTGTTGGCTTGGAGCCCAATACAACTTTTAACACCTCTGGTGATGCACAAGAAAGAGTTTTTGGCTAATGCCTTTTCAGCTAGGCTGTGACCCAATATCTAAAGTTGTGCATGTGTGTGTGTAGAGGAGTGAAATCTGAGCAGACACTGACCAGAGTCACATCTCCTTTGAATATAAATAGAACTGCTTAAGAAGTGACCTTTACTTTTGCATGCATACTCATGTGTGCCAAGAGAACATATTTTTAATGCTGTGCTCTGTATACTGGCCACGAAAATGTAAAGCAGACATTGCTCTGTTGCCTGAATCACTTAGACAGGTGATTATACTGGAGCTGACTGTCCTGTGGGAGGATTGTATGATCGGCACCAACACAAAGAACAGAGACCAGTATGAGGAATTGTTGGGTAAGATGCCCAGTTGGCTGCAGCCGGCTGGCAGCCTCATGTTTCTGCAGAGGCTGAACATCAAAGACCATCAGAGAGTATTTGCGATGTGTGTTGTGGAACACCAAAAAGTGACATCATACTTTAACATGATGTTTGCTACTTGCTCCACCGTTTCACTTCTTCATACTTGCTGCGCCACAGTGCTTTTCCACTATGTGATAACCAAGGGTGGATATTTACATTTTGCAGCCCACTACTGTGAAGATTCCACTGCTGTGACCTTATTTGGCTACTGTGTTATTTTCTATTGCACCACAGACTACTACACAGCCATAAATTGCAGTGTCTTGGCTTATTTGCTCCTCTCTGCGTGCATATCAATAAGGGTGCTATTGTAGATTAATGATTTACGGACTACGAACAGAGAAGGGATGAACTACTCTGGTGTACAATAACGGGCCATACTTTTGCTAAAAACTGGCTAACTTTGGGAATTTCTTTCTTCTTCTAGTATATCAGAGGCAAAGCCATCATACTGTTTGAAGTATTAATGATAAAATCAATCAGCATTACTTTATTAAAGCCTTTCTAATGAAAATCAACTCAACTCATAAATAAATTATTTGCAAGTAATGGCAGTGAAAGCTGATTACGGTGTGTGCTATGACCTCTGGCAATGGCTGTTGCAACTTGCAACAGCTGTGTGGCATTCATTCAGCTTTCTTCTGAAAACATCTATATGTCTTCTTCATATCAACGGCTGTGAGAAGAAAGAGGTGGTAGAGAGAGGAGTGTGTTCCTGTGTTTGCTTGGACTGAAGAGCCAGAGATGGAGGGGACACAATTAGCAACTGAAACTGAGAAAAGAGGTGAAGAAAAATTGCTGACATGCTGTGCAAGCTGGAAATACTTGACACCAACAGGTCCCTGCAGCTATTTCCACTTAAATTTATCTCTACACTCCAGAGTGTTGAAGTATTTGAAGGAGGACAGGGTGTACAGCCGCTAATGTGGCTGAAATATAGAAACGCATGAATCAGTGTATGTAGAAAAATGTTTTGGATGTTTTTCCCCATATTATTAGAGCAATATGTGAGCCTGTACTAGGTGTTTGACTGTATAAATAAAAGTGTGCATATGTGTGTATTTGCGTGTGTGTAATAAGAGACACCTGAGACAGTTAGAAGGTCATTCCTGGAGTCTGGTCACATAGCTTTGATCATTTTCCCGTCGCCTCAGAAATAGACTAGAGAGGACAAGACTGGCACAAACTCTCCCTCCCTGTGTGTGTATATGTGCGTCCCAAGCAGAGTGCTGGCCCGACAGACTGACAGAGAATCAGCACTTGTTTGCAGTGTGCCAGTCTGTGCTCGCATGATCGCACTAATGCATTTGCACACATTACGCTGTTTGCCATTGCTTGCATTTGTTCTGTGAATGTGTACATGCACATGCATGCAAATGCCTGAAAGGACACTGTGTGTGTGTATTCATGTGAATGTTAAGAGGTGTGATCAGGGTTTAAATTCTTGTGTATTCATGTGAATGTCAAGAGGTGTGATCAGGGTTTAAATTCTTAAGCTATCAAAACAATACATTTCAGCTTGGGCCTCAAATCAGATTCGGAGAGCTGCCCTTGTAGAGACATTACTACACACCAGTTACTGTAAATTTGCAAGCTTACATAGACATACACCCATGTGTTTTCATTCCTGGTGGAGACTTTACATTGACTTGCATTACTTTCCTGATGATTCACACTAACCTTAACCATAACCATTTGCCTAACCCTAAACTTAATCTAATCCTCACCTCACCCCAACATTAAACCAAGTCGTAACCTTAAAGATCAATGAGTTATGTGGTGGGGACAAGCATCTGGGGGCTCAGATGATAGAGTGGTGGTCTGC